AAAATGGAACCTAGAAAGAAAATTTCTAGGAGGTGGTACCCGTGGAGAATTGTGGCTTTGTGGCTGGAGTTACAAACACTGCTGCTTACTGGCGAGAAGGGACTCCTGCCCAACTAGATGACACACGTCTGTCTCCTCAGGATGCCTTTCATCCATCAACTTAGACTTCTTGTCCTTTATCTTGAGTATTTAAGTTAGAAACCAAAGCCCTTGATTTGGGGTTACACAATGGCAGTGTGGCCCCAGGACCTCCATGAGCCTCAGAAGGCTCTCCGATCTTGCCCTCGAGGTTGTGTGTATAATTTTCTCTTCCAACGCCGAGGTCCAGTGGTCCTTGAACCAAAGGTAAATGTAGTGTTCTTTGGTGTTAGCTATGGGAAATGCCTTCTGAGGAGTGGGAGACAAGCCATAAGGTACCCCTCTGTGTGTGGTGTGGGGAAAACACTACTTTCAAGTAGTTGCTTCTAAGAGACTGTGTTATCCCACTCGTTACCAGATAACTCAACTATGGTTAGCTGGCTTTGATAGCAGGCCCCGTCCTTCTATCTCCCTGAAATATATGGAGGCTTAGGAGACTGTCTTGTTCCTACCCACTCGCATTCCAGCTGGGTGGGGGTGGGAGAAGAAACGGGATCCTTCAAGCAGGACTGTTCGTGGCACAATGGCAATTCCAAGCAAAGAATGTTGCTGAGCGCTCAGAGCCTGCCCCAGGACCAAAGAGCTTTTCGTGGACTTGGGGTTAATTTTTCTTCGAACTTCAGTCATCTCTTGCAGAGTGCAGAGGTAGTAGATTAAAGCTACCTACTTCTGCCAGAATTCGCAAGAAAATGGGGCACTTGTAGGATGAATAACAACAGAAGAGTCACAGTGCGTTAAAGATACTTTTTAAGTCGCTTAACTTTTGTCGTTTTAAAAAGTTATTTACTGTAATTGTAACACACCATATAATACAAAAACATTTAAGGAAAGCACGTTTTAAAAAACTGCCTCCAATCGTACTTTTTTCAATCTTCCCTCCACCTCCACTCAAATTACTGCTAACCTCCTGCTGTGTAGACTTCCTGCTGTTCTAGAATGTCTTTTTTCATTTCTGTTTCTCCATAATAAGTATTCCATCCCCATTTTGCATATGGGAACAGTGGTGAAGAGCACTCACTCTGGGATCCGACAGCCCGGCCCCTCCTCCCACCAGCCTTTAATTCAGGGCAAAGAAAATAGGGATGGTGATGCCTATACCGAAGGGTGACTGCGGGCGGGCGATTCAATCTGAAAACTGTATTTAAAAAGCATAGGGCAAGGGTCTGGCTTGTAGAGACAGGCACGAGGAAGAATGGTTAGGCCCGTGAACTCTTAGACTGCCTGGGTCCCAATCCTCGTTCTGCCACTTAACTAGCTGCCTCAGTCTCTGCATCTCTAAAAAGGGGATGCTGCTGGTAGCAACCTCGAAGTGTTCTGGGATTACACGAGTTAATATTTGTAAAGTGCTTAGAAGAGAGCCTGGCACATAGTGTTGGCACTTGTTTAAATATTAAGAAAATAGTGAATAAAAGGTAGTTGAAGCTGTTAGTTTGAATGTGTAGTTTTTGATGGTGATAATGATGATATGGTGTTGAAAAGATCTTCCCGTTTAGAGATGGCCATTGGGTTCTTGGCTCACGTCACTGGGATTAGGTTTCTAAACCAAGTGACCAAATAACAAGTTTAGGAAAGGACAAGCTGACTTAAAGAATACTTCATCCTTTGCTAGCTTTATTTTTGTTGAACTTTTTATTGTAGAAATGTTCAAATATACGTAATTCCCATGTACTGATCCTCTGGTTTCTACAGTTCGCCATTCTTGTTTCCTCCTACATGCTGGCATTAGTGTTCGCTGTACCCTGAGATGCTGCCTAGCCCTTGCCAGGGTTGGAAGCAAGCTTCCCAGAGCCTTCCCGGAGCTGGAGATCCCCTTGGTCTTTCCTATAATTTCTAGTTTGTCAGCCCAGAGGCTCAGGTTGCACAGAAAGATAATGAGCACCTGGAAATTCAGGTTGAGCCTGCCTGTCATGGGCACACTACTTCTGTCACTTCTCAAAGGCGGAGCTTAACCACCATTCAGACGAGATGCCCCAGAGCAGGTTAAGAGCCTTGCATTAAGTTATTTGCAAAACCATTTTCATTTTTTCAGGCCACCACCCTTGGCAAGTCCAATCATGCTTGTCCCGACTGCCCAGATTTGGGCTGGCTGGGAAAAGGAATTCAGTGTGAAAAATGAGGGCAGCTCTTGTTACCTGCTAATATGACAAGCCCCCAACACAGTCCGGTGCCCCCATTACTTCTGCTGGGGTGGGGTTGGGGGAAGGTTATTGGAAAAACATTTTGTTTTGCTAGTTTGAAAAGAAATTCCTATTTTAGACTTAAAGGGTAGTATCTGCCCATCCTTTAAGGATTTTGTGTTTCTTCTTGCTTCTGTTGTCATTTTTTGGTTTATCTGTTCATTTAGCAAATGCTTGTCCTCTAGCTTGTCTACTCAAATGCACAGAAATCATCCTCATCCCCTTCCACTTGCTTTGTTCTTTCAGTTTCTAAATGTGATCACATTCACTCTCTTGGTTAATCCTCACAAAACCCGGAAGAGGTGTGCTCACTCAGTGGTGGAATCCTTCAGGATCCAGTAGAGAAAACTGAGGCCCAGAGAGGTTAAGCATTTTGCTTAAGGCCACTCAGTAAGAACATGGCAAGGGAATTCCCTGGTGGTCCAGTGGTTAAGACTCTGCGTTCTCACTGCTGAGGGCCCGGGTTCAATCCCTGGTCGGGGAACTAAGATCCCACAAGCCTCAGTTTCTTCATCTTCAAACTGGGGATAATCATGGTACGTATCCCCTCCGGCCCCCAAACATGGTCTTACTTTCTCTGGCAAGGGTGGGGCTGTTGGTTTCAGAAAAGTTTGCAAGGGTGGCCCCTAGTGGAAGAAATGAAAACTGCAGTCTATACATCGTAACTGGCTTTAGGGCTTTCTGGCAGAGGCCTGATCCTTAACGCATTTTAAGGTGTCTAGCCGTGCAAAATTGGCACAAAAGTAGGAGTTTTTATAAAAGATCTCTTGGACAAAATCGAACGCCCACTGGAGGAATGAGGGGGCGATTATTTGAAAGGAGGAGAACAGGCCAACTTGAGAGTTTCCCAGAAAGGACCGTTTTATCGACTGTTCCTTCTGCCTGAAAGGCCCTTGAGCCAGGTTTCTGCAAGGCTGGCTCCTTAGGTCTCAACTAAGACGCCCCCAACTTCACAGAGGCCATCCCTCACCATCCAGTATAAGTTACACCCTCCTCACACCTTCCTCTTCCCCTGTCACTCTTGTATCACCTTCTTTAATTCCTTTATATCTAGCATTTGTCACTACCTGAGATTTGCTTTTGTTACATGTACACCTCTTCCACAACAGTGGAAGCTCAAGGGGAGCAGGTGCCTTGTCTGTTTGTTCACAGAATTTTTTTCATCCTTAGAGCCCAGCACAGTTTCTGACAAATAGTTTGATGGAAGCCTGTTGAACGAATGAGTCTTTTAGGACTCTGATGTTTAGTGCAGACACTTTTCACCACAGCTTCTCCAGCATTGGGTATTAATACTTTTAAAGTTTTAATACTTTAATAACTATAAAACTTTAAATAGTTTTGTCTCTAAGCCACTGATTCTAAGTTCCCCCACCCAAGTAGTTCTCTTCTGTCTTTTGCATTTGTCTTGCTGTGTTGTATGTTCAGGTAGAAGACTTTCCTATGAAATCTTCACTGTCTCCCCTAACTGACAGTGATGAGTTTCTCCACTGGGCCTCAGATTGCAAGCAGGCATTACCTCTCAATGCCTCGGAAAATAAGCATATAATCAGTACTTAATGAATATCACAATTATCTGTGTCTTTTGTGGAAAATTGAATTAATGATTAACCAAAGCTATGTTTGTTTTAAAATTTTTATTTAATAGTGTCTATTATGTGCCAGGCACTGTTCCATGTATCTTTTTTCTTTCTTTTTTTTGGCCACGTCACACGTGTGGAGTCCTAACCACTGGATTGCCGGGGAACCCCCATGTTCTATGTATCTTAAAACAAGCCTAGTAGGTAGTTGCTATCGATGACTTCATTCTACAGATGGGTAGACTGAGGCACAGAGAGATTCAATGACTTGCCCAAGGTCACAGAGCTAATAAGCAGAGCTGGGACTTGAGCCCCACCCTTGCCAGGGAAAATAAGACCATGTTTGGGGGCGGGAGGGTAAGCACCATAATTACCCTCATTTTGAAGATGAAGAAACTGAGGCTCAGAGAAGTTAAAAAATTTATTCTATCTCAGTTATTTTTCATATCGTCAAGAGCCATCTGAAGGAGAGGCCCTTTTGTGTTATTGAAAAGTAGAAGTTACTTTCTTTTTTTGTTTTTTTGGAAGGTGAAGTCTTTTTTTTCTTTAATAAATTTATTTATTAATTTTTGGCTGTGTTGGGTTTTCGTTTCTGTGCGCGGGCTTTCTCTAGTTGCGGCGAGCGGGGGCTACTCTTCATCGCGGTGCGCGGGCTTCTCATTGTAGTGGCTTCTCTTGTTGCGGAGCACAGGCTCTAGACGCGCAGGCTCAGTAGTTGTGCCTCACGGGCTTAGTTGCTCCGCGGCATGTGGGATCTTCCCAGACCAGGGCTCGAACCCGTGTTCCCTACATTGGCAGGCAGATTCTTAACCACTGCGCCACTAGGGAAGCCCAGAAGTTACTTTCTAGACAGCTTACTGTTTTCAGTCTCCAAGTAGATGAGAAAAGAATCAGACCACAATTAAGTCGCCCTGTAATTGTGAAGGACATAATGATGGCTTCCACTACTTTGATATCTTTGCTGTTCTGTCACCAGACTATGGTATGTTTTACTTGTGCCTGTTTTGTGTGAGTCAGGCTTTTGGTGGGTGAATGAAGTTCGATTCCTAGAGAAGGAATGCTCTTTAATCTCCTCAGTTTCCTAATCACTGTGATTTATGCCCTGCAGTGAGTTTTGAAGGATGCACCGGTCTACCAAAGACAGTCTATGTTTCTGATGACACCCGATTCAAAGTGGGCACAGATGGCGTGGTTACAGTCAAACGGCCTTTACACCTTCATCATCCAGAGATGAGTTTTCTTGTCCATGCCTGGGACTCCACCCACAGGAAGCTCTCCACCAAAGTGACCCTGAAGGCAGTAGCGCACCACCATCACCACCACCATCATCATGTACGTTGGAGTGTTTCTTAGAAGTTCACTATTATTTTAGTATGCTGCTTAATCCAGGTTTCTCTGCCTTGGCACTATTCACATTTGGGGCTGGATAATTTCTTGCTGTGGGTGTGTCGTGTGCACTATGTAATGTTTAGCAGCATCCCTGGTCTTAACCGCTAGATGCTTGCAGCACTCTGCCGGTTGTGACAACCAAAATTGTCTCCAGACACTGCCAATGCCCCCTGGGGGTGGGCGGAAGGGGTGCTAAATAGCCCCTAGTTGAGAACCATTGGTCTAACTGAACTAGTTTTTGCTGTGGATTTTTTTTGTTGTTGGATGGACGGCAAGATACACTACCTTATTTCTGCAGGTAGTGTAGAATAGGTGGTAAGGGCATGGATTCTGTCTGGTATTGGGTACCAGCCCTTCTATTTACTACCCGAGTAGACTTGGGGGAGTTATTTAATCTGTCTGTGCTTGAATTTCCTTGTAAGTAAAATGGGGATAATAATGACTGCATGAATTATTACACGTGATTGCTGGAACTATGGTAGGCGTATGATAAGTACTCAGTAATTGTTAACTGTTCTTCTCATTCCCTTCCCAGAGGAACAATGAACACGAGTTCAGTTCTCTGGTCATTTTGCTCTTCGTGTCTCTAGTGGAGAGGGCCTTGGCAAAGAAGGGGAAGAATCAGCGGAAGCTTTTGCCTGATTGGACTATAATCTCCACAAGATCCTTCCCCATTGTATCTGCAGTGCCTGGCCTTTGGGCCTGGCACATACCAGGAGCCCAGTAAATATTGAGTGGACAGATGGGTGCATTGGCCACAAATGAAAGGATACATGTCTGCCCAGGTTCTTGGCGAGAATGTTTTGGGAAATTGTTAACCAAAGCCAAATGCCTTTGCCAGTTTCTAAACTGCTCCCATGGTGCTGCCTCCTGAAACGTCTCTCTGGAGGGCCATTCTAGTTGTATCCCGCTATCGCGTTGGGCGCGTGGAAATACTGTAACTGCCAAGGCCTTTCAGGCTGGCTCTTGTTTTTCTCCCTGAAGACTATTGAGATTCTGGGAATTTAATAGTCCTGATAGATCTGATTTTTCTCCCTGGTGTAATTGGCCAGACCAGAAAAGTGGGGAACGAAATTAACATAGCTTCCTGACTTAAGTCTCCCATTAATTCCATCATTCATGTAAGTCCAGCCTGGTAAGTTCTTGCTGGGCAGCTGTGTATGGAAACCTCTTATGATGCACAGATGTAAACAAAGTTGGTTTCTCAACTTTTCCTCTTCACCTTTGCCATCTGCCTTCATGATTATGTTCAAATACGTATTATAGAAAAGCACAAATTAAAGTGGTTTATGTAAAATAGAGTATTTCTCTTTCAAGTTAAGGCAACTGAGTGGTAAGTTGTGGCCAGTATGGAGACTCTTGTAGTTATCAGGAGGCTAGGTTCTTTCTTTCCTTTCTGTTCTATCATCCTCAGCATATGGCTCCCATCCTCAACGATACCTCATGATCCAAGATGGCTGCTGGATCGCCATTTATCATACCTTTCCTCTGGATGGTAGGAAGTTGGAAGGGAGGAAGCCCAAAAATGTATCACTTAGTTGTCCACCTTTTAGAGAAGGCTTTGTGGGATTTTGAAGCAATGTTTCTGCTTACATCTCATTAGTTGGAACTTGGCTTCATGGTCACACCTAGCTACAAGTGTAGTATAGGAAATGTAGTTTTACTTAGGTACATTGTTGGACACAAAATTTATATATATATAGGGAGAGAGACAGAGAGGGAGAGAAAGAGATTTTTGTTTTTAAATCAGAAAGAATGGATATTGAGCGGTAGGTGGCAACTCTACCACAGCTGGTTTGAGGTTGACTTTGGTTTGCCCCTAGTTCAAGGGACCCTTGTGGTGCCAGGTGGCCCTACACTGGAAGGGGTGATAATCTTACCTCTCTTTTACTTGATATAAGAATAGATCCTATATATATCAAAACATCACATCGTACACCTTAAATACAAACAATTTTTATTTTGTCAGTTATACCTCAAGAAAGCTGGAGAAAAAATATAAATAGATCTAACTTTCCAGTTTTGTCTCTTTGGTTGGATGGGTTTTCTTGGTCTGGTATCCTTGTTTTCTGAGGGATGGATCCCATGTTCAGTATGTTCCTTTCAATTTCACACATGAAGGGAATTCCCTGGTGGCCTAGTGGTTAGGATTCTGGGCTTTCACTGCCGTGGTCCTGAGTTCAATCCCTGGTCAGGGAACTGAGATCCCACAAGCCATACGGCACTGCCAAATAAATAAATAGATAGATAAATAAATAAATATCTTTATTTAAAAATAATAATAATTTCACACATGAAGATGTTAATGTTATGTTTTGCCAGCACAATGTTCATCATTATTTATTATCATTCTCTGAAAATATTCCATAGTCCTGATGTCAGCAAGGTGTGCTTTTTGCCTTCCTCTTCAATATGGCAAATGAATTTGCATTCATTCATCAAGGCCTGTTTTTTTTACCATGGCTGTGCAAGATGGTCATTTTTAGGCTTAAGATACCGTGTTGAGAATCAGTTTAGTATTTATATTTATTAGTATTTATTGTGCTCGGGTCAAATCCCAAATTCCACTTCATTAAAACCATAACTCTGTTTTCCAGCCAATCCAACCATCATCTTCATCATTAGCATTTATTGAGCACTTACTATGTTTCAGGCACTATTCTAAGTGCTTTACTGCAATACTAGTATCACATTTTATCCTTCCAAGGACCCTATGAGGCAGATACTAATATAATCCTCATTTTAGACGTGAGGAAAGTGTGGGACAGAGAAGTTAAATAATCAGCCCAGCAAGGTGAGGTGTCACAGTGAGGATACAAAGCCAGGCAGCCTGGCTCCAGAGCCTGCCCTTGGCCAGGGCAGGACTGCTTCTCTAGGAGGTTAATGCAGAGGGTGTGTGTTAAGGGGTGTGTGAGTGACTGGTACACAGGAAGGCAGGATTAGGAAGGCTTTTGTGATGATATCTGGTCATGTTTCATGTCTGTCTTGTGCATTTTGAGTCACATTTTAAAAGCCAGGAAGCAGGGCTTGACTCTCACTTGACAGACAGGGATGGGTGACTCTGTGGAGGATGGAAGATGGAATTGTCCTGGAACCTTTACTGTGTTACTACTAATCACTTCAGAACACTTAAGCAATTTGGAAGATCTTTCCTTCCATCTTCGGCTATCTTATTTCCCTGTGTGTGCATTAAGTTATCGCACATGAAAACTGTTCAATACAAGTCTCAAAGGGCACTTTTGGTTCCGATCCAAACAACTTCTGTTAGAACAAATGGAAACCATACGGATATACTAACACAGTGGGATTAAGGGATTAGTACTGATCACAAAGTAGTAAGTTCCCAAAACTTACTCACTTAGGCTAACTCTACTTTGGAGACCTATATCACTAGGAAAAATATAAAAGAAAAGAATATTAAAAACACCTGAATATCTAATTGTTGAATAAGCTCTGATAGTAAATCATTGGAGCATAATGTCCTGTTAAGAATGACAGGCGTGGGACTTCCCTGGTGACACAGTGGATACTCCACGCTCCCAATGCAGGGGGCCTGTGTTCGATTCCTGGTCAGGGAACTAGATCCCACATGCATGCCGCAACTAAGAATTCACATGCCACAACTAAGGAGCTGGTGAGCCTCAGCTAAGGAGCTGACAAGCCGCAACTAAGGAGCCCGTGAGCCGCAACTAAGGAGCCCACCTGCAGTGACTAAGACCTGGTGCAACTAACTAAATAAAATAAATAAATACATAAATAAAATAAATATTAAAAAAAATGACAGGTGTGAGATATAGGCTTGAAATAACTCTTAAATAATGTCAAACCCTCAAACCTATCATCGTGTGTGCATAATGATTACCGAACTCTGGACGCTAAGAAGGATCAAAAGAGGAAACCGTCTTTCTGATATGGTAAAGAGGTCTGTTGGGTTTTGTTTTGGCTGTTTTATGTTGTTGTTAAATGAAAACCATGCCCTGCCCTCAGAAGGCTGGAGACGCTGACTGCCTAGGTTGTTCAGCCCGTATCATCTTTCCTAAATTATCTCATTTTGTTCCTCATCTTCTTTGCTTTTAGGACTCTCCCTCTGGAACCCAGACAGAAGTGCTCACATTTCCCAGCTCCCACCATGGTCTCAGGAGACAGAAGAGAGACTGGGTTATTCCTCCTATCAGCTGCCCAGAAAATGAGAAAGGCCCATTTCCTAAGGCTCTGGTTCAGGTACAGAAGGAAGTTCTCTATTTCTCTGGGAGGAATTTGGCAGAGAAGGACCAAGGAGAGAAAGGGAAAAGAGCCGATGTCAGAATCCTTCCTTTTGCTAATTCATTTCTTTCTGTTTTGTCTTCAGATCAAATCTAACAGGGAAAAAGAAACCAAAGTTTTCTACAGCATCACTGGCCAAGGAGCCGACACACCCCCTCTTCATGTGTTTATTATTGAAAGAGAAACAGGATGGCTAAAGGTGACGGAGCCTCTGGATAGAGAAGATATTGCCAAGTACATTGTGAGTGTCTCTTAGAAGCACTTAATGATGGGGTTACATCCTTTCAAAATTTTTTTGGTCAACTCATGCTGATCATAGATCAGATGTTCTGGACATTTGAAGAGCTTAATTTGATACCTTTAGACCTGTTGATAAGCAGAAATGACAGGAGAACCTGCAAAAATTGGGGGCTGTTCATGTTTTCCTTGTTAGGAATAAAGTGGGGAGAGTCCTGAGGCATCAGACATGATCTTAGACCCAAGATGTCAACCTGTTCTTGGGACTCAAAGTCCCTGACAAATAGGCAGAGGCTGGTGTTGATGTTGGGGAACAAAAACTATTTCTGGGCCTTGAGAGCAGTGTGAGCTTAGGGAAGCTGGGAGGTAATGCGTTGATGCCAAACGCAGGGAAGTCTGCAGGGGGAACGCTAGACTCGAGCAGCCAGAGCAAATTCGACCCTGCTTGGAACCAGTCAGAGTGTTTTAGGCTTTCACCTTTATCTCCTAGGCCCGGCCCCCAGCCCTTATGTGGGAAATGGGGCTCTGAGCTGGTGGATGTGTTCTCCAGCCCATGGTTTCACAGGTCATGGTCTTAACCAGTGTCATGACCTCACTGAAGCAGCAGCACGTGTGTGGGGGAAGTTCTGTGCTTGGGGCGGGGGGCGGGGTCCATGCATACTTGAGTGGGAGGGAGTGGGGGCCAGGTGGAGCCCACTCTGCTCTGGTTGGACCACTTCTCCCAAGTAACCCTCACCTGGCTCTTGCAGCTCTTCTCTCATGCTGTGTCTTCAAACGGGCAAGCAATCGAGGAGCCGATGGAGATTGTGATCACCGTGACCGATCAGAATGACAACAAGCCTGAGTTCACCCAGGAGGTCTTCAAGGGGTCTGTCATGGAGGGCGCTCTTCCAGGTACGTCCAGCAGCGAGGAGATCAACACCCATCAAGACACTTAGATTCTTTGCACCCCCTATTGTTGGGGCTGGCGTTTGGGGTCAGACCCTTCATATGCACAGAACTTCTTTGGAAGACACTGTTTGTGTGTAAAACATCCTACCTATAGAAATATGTATAAAATGTTTAAGCCCAGTTTAAGAAAGGAGCAGTTTAAGAACAACCTTCCCTGATTAAGTAACAGATCCTTGTTAGTAGTTTACAGACCCTGTACAGTCCTTCCTGATCACATTTTTTCCCTCCTCCATAAAGACAGCCACCACCCTGGCTTTTGTGATAATCATTCCCTTGCTTTCATTTATCTTTTACCACGTGTGTACTTACAGTTTTGCCTACTTTTCTACTTGGTGACAAACTGTTTTCCAAGGTGGCTGAACCAATTTATACTCCCACCAGCAATATATATCATGGAATTGTTTGACTTCTTTTTGGCCAATCTGTTGAGTGTGTAGTTATATCTCAACATAACTTAAAATGGAATTTCTCTGATTATTAATGGACTAAATAAGCATCTTATCATATGCTTGCTGACCAGCTGGGTTTCTTTACAACTTGTCTGTTCAAGTCTTTTGCCCCTTTTTTCTCTTGTGCTGTTTGTCCTTTGCCTATTGATTTTTCTTTTTTTTTTAAATGACAAATTTTATTCCAAAAGGGCTCCAGTAGTACCAGAGACATTGATGTAGAGTTTGAATAGTGTTTCAGGTAAAGTGAAAATGGATAAAAGCAATATTTCTAGTTAATATATTTTTAGGTAATGTGATTTTAAATGTTTCAGTTAAAATGTAATAAATATTAATGAACTTATTTGCAAAACAGAAACAGACCCACAGACAGAAAACAAACCTATGGTTACCAAAGGTGAGAGGAGAGGGGGATAAATGAGATAAACAACAAGGTCCTGCTATATAGCACAGGGTACTTTACTCAACATCTTGTAGTAAACTATAATGAAAAAGAAAAAATGTAATAAATATTAAAAATAGATGTTTTAGGGCTTCCCTGGTGGAGCAGTGGTTGGGAATTCGCCTGCCAGAGCAGGGGACTCGGGTTCAAGCCCTGGTCCGGGAAGATCCCACATGCCGCGAGCAACTAAGCCGGTGCTCTACAACTGCTGAGCCTGCGCTCTAGAGCCCGCGTGCCACAATTACTGAACCCGCAGGCCGCAATTACTGAGCCCACACGCCCGGAGGCTGTGCTCTGCAACAAGAGAAGCCATCACGAGATGCCTGTGTACCACAAGGAAGACTCTACAAAGCCAAAAATAAATAAATAAAAGAAAGAAATTTAAAAAAATAGATGTTTTAATATTTTATCTATTTTAACAGCTTTATACAGAATTATAGGGGAGTTGTTTTATTTGTTTGTTTGTTTGTTTTGTTCTTAAAGGAGAACCACTTTATTTTGAGTAGTAAATGAAACTCCATTTATAACATAATAAACAAACGTTCCATCAATTTCTTCACGGTTAGTCCAAAGAACAACTGCTTTAATTAGAATTTACATTTCACCTTAAGTATTCTAAAATCCATCCATGTCAACTTTGGAGTTTTAATCTTGCCTGATACTATGAAATAGGGCAAACCTTGATTGATGGTCAAATTCTTAATTTTTGCTGTTCAGCCACTTTTCTTGCTCTTGCTCTCTGATTCCGTACATTCCAGAGTGTTCAGTGGACTTGCAATAAACTTCCAAGATGAAGGGGAATTTCTTGCTCATTGTTTGCCTGAACTCTTGACTTGTATTCATCTTTCTGAACAAAATATATGCTCCAAAAATGCCCACAAGTTCAGCTACTAAAACTCCTTTAAAGATCTGCTTTGCCAGTGGATCCATAGTACGGGCTATCCTGAGGCGCGTACTTGTGGGGCTGCGCATGCCTGCCTATTGATTCTCTTTTTAAATTTATTTTTGGCCACGTTGGGTCTTTGTTGCTGCTCATGGGCTTTCTCTAGTTTTGGTGAGCAGAGGCTACTCTTCATTGCGGTGTGCAGACTTCCTATTGCGGTGCGCAGACTTCTCATTGCAGTGGCTTCTCTTGTTGCGGAGCAGAGGCTCTAGGTGCATGGGCTTCAGTAGTTGCGGTGTGTGTGCTCAGTTGTTGTGGCTCGCGAGGCTCTAGGTGCATGGGCTTCAGTAGTTGCGGTGTGTGTGCTCAGTTGTTGTGGATCGCGGGCTCTAGAGCGCAGGCTCAGTAGTTGTGGCACACGGGCTTAGTTGTTCTGCAGCATGTGGGATCTTCCCGGAGCAGGGATCGAACCTGTGTCTCCTGCGTTGGCAGGCGGATTCCCAACCACTGCACCACCAGGGAAGTCCCTGCCTATTGATTCTTGAAGAATTATTTAGGTATTCTGGGAACTAGTACTTTGTCTGTCACAAGTGTTGTAAATATTTCCTTCTACCTTGAAGGCAGCAATCTCAAATGACCATTCTCTCAGGTGGAGCTGTGGCTAAGAAGCCAATTACAGAAATTTCTGGTATTTTTCCTGTTTTATACACTATTCACTCAGTATAAGAGACATAGCAAAAATGTTTTAGCTTAAGGTTATTTATTCCCCATACTCCTCACCCACCCTCCCCACCCAAAATATCCTCTGGAAAAGCTGAGTTCTGGGAACACCACTTGCTCATTTGGTGGAATGCTTTCTTCCTCCCCCAGCGCTTTAGTTAGAATTTTGGAAATTAAAGTGTAGCTTGACTAAATCTTCTCCTTTGCTTCCAGGGACCTCTGTGATGGAGGTCTCGGCCACAGACGCAGACGATGATGTGAACACCTACAACGCTGCAATTGCTTACACCATCCTCAGCCAAGAGCCTATGCTGCCGCACAACAAAATGTTCACCATCAACAGGGACACGGGTGTCATCAGTGTGCTCACCACCGGGCTGGACCGGGAGGTCAGGGGTCAAGAGGATCCAGAGGGTATTGAGGGCAAATAGCTCGATCGTCTGGATGATGTAAAACTCTGCCGAGGCCAGTTGCTGCTTAGTATGGTGATGGTTCTGAGCTTTGTATCTAAACATTTGTCCAGAGGTTTGGGGCCAGGCAGGCAGGCAGGTTGGCATTTAAGCAGATGAGAAAATAATTTGTTTCTGTGTGATGGGCTGGGCTGTGCCTGATGTGGCTGTCAGTCCTGACTCAGGTGTGTTCGATCTCTACAGAGTTTTCCCACGTATACCCTGGTGGTTCAAGCTGCAGACCTGCAAGGTGAAGGCTTAAGCACGACCGCAACAGCTGTGATCACAGTCAACGACACCAACGATAACCCTCCCATCTTCAACCCAACTACGGTAATAACCCTGCAACTCCTTAGAGAGTCTCCAAAGGTCCTTGGTTGTTTCCCAGTATCTCATGGGTGAACCCTTTGGAAACGTTTTCCAGACTAGTAAACTTGAAGGTAAAAAGCAAGCAGGTCAGGATGTCAGTTGTCTCTGCCTTCCTCAGCCTGGGACCTATTGACACAGGTTTCTGAAGTTGCAAAAAACACCTATTTTTAGTGTTTGTTTTTTTTTAAGGAACTTCCATATAAAGATGTTAAAAAAAAATTAAAATAAGAAAAAAAAAAACACCTATTTACTGCATGTCCTCATCTTGGTAGCAGATCTTACCAGGTTTTAGTTATTCATTGAACAAATATTCTCTGGGTTTATACCAGGCACTGTCTTAGACACTGGGGATATTATCACAAACGAGGCAGACGACACTTCTATTCTTGTGGAGTTTATAGTCTAGCTAGGGTGATGTTATACAACTTATACTGATTATTGTGTATAATTATATTAAATGCAGTCAAGGAGAAGGTATTGAGAGCTGTGTGAAAGAACCTGAAACCTTATTGTGTTACCTAGAAATCAGACATTTGACTCTTGTGGTTTAAACAAACAGGGTTGACTTTTTCTCTTGTGTCACTAACGGCCCAGAGGTAGATAGTCCACTCAGTCAGTAGAAACCAAGCCTCCTTTATCTGCTTTCCCACCGTCCTTGGTACATGGATTCTATCCCCATTGTCACCTTGTGGCCCAAGATGACAGCTGGAGCTCCAGCCATATCTGTGCTTCGTTCAAGAAGGCGGCAAAGGCGAGGGGGCATAAAGTCTTGATGTCAAGTCAAGTTTTCTTATTTCTGTGAAGACCCATCCCACAAGTTTCATTTACCAGCAACTGCTGTCTGCAAGGAAGACTGGAAATACAGTATTTTCTCTGGGCACGTTGCTGCCGTCAGCCACGTAGTTAGTGAAGAAGAGGAGAGTGGATATTCAGTAGACGATTGGCGGTGTCTGCCGCTCTAACCTAGCCACCGTGAGTACAGGAGGCTTAGGAAAGGCAGATTGGGCTTCCCTGGTGGCGCAGTGGTTGAGAGTCCGCCTGCCGATGCAGGGGACGCGGGTTCGTGCCCCGGTCCGGGAAGATCCCACGTGCCGCGGAGCGGCTGGGCCCGTGGGCCATGGCCGCTGAGCCTGCGCGTCCGGAGCCTGTGCTCCGCAACGGGAGAGGCCACAACAGTGAGAGGCCCGCGTACCGCAAAAAAAAAAAAAAAAAAAAAAAAAAAAAAAAGAAAGGCAGATTAATGCCCCGCATCAAAAGGAAGCTTGATGAATAGCAAGAACTGAAAAACAGTCAGTGTAATGAACCAAATGAGACCAGGTCCTACAGGACCTTGTGGACTGAATTTAGAATTTCAGAATTTATCCTGAGTGCAGTGGGATGTTATCAAAGGGTTTTAAGTAGAAGACGGTAATGATCAGACATTTAGGAAAATTACTTGTACCACTGAGAGTGATGAGGAAGACGGGAATGGGGGATAAGCTACAGTGTCAGCAGTTGGGCCAGAGTACGCTGAGAGGCGCGGACAGCCAGGACCTTGGCTCCTTCAGGTACTCATAGGGCCCCTGAGTGCTGGCTGCTCCACCAACAGAAAATAAGGGCCATGCTGGTAGGGTGGGCACTTCTTTGGAGACTAATCAAAGCTTGGGCTCAAGAAAGGACTCCCTTAGCCCCCTGAACCCTGGCTCCACTTCTGAGTCTGAGTATGTCCTAAGTGACACATCCTTTTCTTTGCTCTGCAGTACGTGGGGTCGGTGCCTGAGAACGAGGCTAACGTCGTCATTACCAAACTCACAGTGACCGATGCCGACGTCCCCAATACCCCAGCGTGGGAGGCCGTTTACACAATATTAAACGATAACGAGAAGCAGTTTGTTGTCATCACAGACCCAGAAACCAATGAAGGCATTTTGAAGACGGCTAAGGTTTGTATCATTCCAGGCAAGATGCAGAAACTGACAACGCAGCCAGAGGCCCTTGTCCCCTGGTGTCTTCTCTGAAGTAGATTAGTGCGGCCTTGCTGGGGTGGGGGAGGGCAGCTCTCCCAGATTCTGGTGGGGTTTGCAGTGACTCTTCAGCCTCATGTGAGAAATCAGGAAGCTCCCACACCACACCCTAAAATTGAAGAGGAAGTACCATCTGTTTTATTTTTATTATTATTATTTTTTATAAATTTATTTAATTTATTTTTTTATTTTTGGCTGCATTGGGTCTTCGTTGCTGCGTGCGGGCTTTCTCTAGATGCGGCGGGCAGGGGCTACTCTTCGTTGCGGTGCGCGGGCTTCTCACTGCGGTGGCTTCTCTTGTTGCGGAGCACGGGCTCCAGGTGCGCACGCTTCAGTAGTTGTGGTGCACGGGCTTAGTTGCTCCGCGGCATGTGGGATCTTCCCGGGACAGGGCTCGAACCCATGTCCCAGGCATTTGCAGGCGGATTCTTAACCACTGCGCCACCAGGGATGTCTGTACCATCTGTTTTAATATGTTCTTTCTCTGAAACATTTGCCCCCCCCCCCCCC